GGAGCCGGCGGAGGCGGAGGCGGGCGGCCTCCGGCTGCACCTCGGCAAGGGTGGCACCGGCTACAAGGGCGTCTCCAAGTTCAACAGCGGCGGCTTCGAGGCGTAATACTTTGCGGGCCGCAAGGTGCGGTTGGTCGAAGTAGGGGTCGATGCCGGCCTAAATGGGGCGGGGGGGGGGGGGGCGTGAGTGGGGGTCCTCCACCGCTGCCACCTCCGACGATAGCACGGTTGTCTAGCACGGTTGTCTGTGGTGATGCCTTTCCCTGAGGACGCACGCACCGCCTCGTGTGCAATGCCGCCGTGTGTTCCGCGAGTGCGCGTGCCCCGTCGTCCGTGCTAGGTCCGTGTGTACGACTGACTGACTGACTGGCTGGCTGACAGGTGCGGCTGGGCGTGTACGATACCGTGCTCGAGGCGGCGGAGGCGTACGCGCGGTACGTCAACGAGAACGGCGTCGAAGAGGAGGCGCCGCCGCCGCCGCCTCCGACGGAGGAGGAGGTGCTCGCGGCGGCGGCGGCGGAAGGGCTGCAGCTCCACCGCAAGGATGGGAACATGACGGGCTACAAGGGCGTCTCGCCCCTCGACGGCGCGTTCGAGGCATACTTCAACGTGCGCGGCCGCAAGATCCGCCTGGGCAGGTTTCCCACCGCCGCGGCGGCGGCGGTGGCCTACGCGCGGCACGTGGCCGACCCTCAGACGGCCGGCGAGCACGCGGCGACGGTGGTCGCCCGGTGTGAGCAGCGCCAGGAGCGGCGCGAGGCCTGTAAGATCGCTCACCGACACAGCCGCCGCGCTGTGCCGGAGTGCCCCGGCACGCCCCCGCCAGAGGAGGAGGCGGCGGAGGAGGCAGCGGCGTCCGGGGCGGCGCAGGGGCGTGCGGAGGCAGCGGCGGGGGCAGCAGCGGCAGCAGCGGCAGCGGCGTCGGCGGCGGCGGCGGCAGCGGCCTTCCGTCGCAGCTCTCGCGTGCCCAGTTGCATGCCGACTGGAGAGACGTACGTCGGCGGTGGCTTGGGCGGGAAGAGCGGCCACACGCGCGACACCGCCGCGCCACCCGCCAAGCCGACCGCCAAGGCACCACCCGCCAAGGCGCCCGCAAGACCGCCCGCCATGGCTCCCGCTATGCCACCCGCCGCCGCCGCACCCGCCGCACGCACCGCGCCAGCCGCAGCACGCGCCGCCGCACGCGCCGCGCCCGCCGCCGCCGGCACCGACCCGGCTCGCGGCGCGGCGCTGCGCTCCGTGGCGAATCCGAAGCGCAGCGGCGGGAAGTGGGCTCCGTGCCCCGGGCTGTGCGGTGGCCGCACCGCCGGGGGCGTGTGGTGCGACGCTTGCAAGGAGGAGGGCGACGCGGTGCTCTCCGCCGCCGGCCGGGGCAGCGGTGTCACCATGCCGAGCAGCGGTGTCCGCCCGCTCGTGGCGGCGGCGGCAGAGGCGGCGGCGGCAGAGGCGGCGGCGGCAGAGGCGGCGGTGGCAGAGGCGGCGGCGGCAGAGGCGGCGGCGGCGGCAGAGGAAACAGAGGCAGCAGAGGCGGCAGAGGCAGCAGCGGACAACGAAACCGGCGCCCGCCGCGAGGCCGGCGCCGAGGCCGCGCCGAAGCGCTCGATCGGGGCTGCCGGAGGGGCGGCGGAGGTGGCCGCAGGCACGAGGCGTTCCAAACGACCTGCAGAGGCGGCTGCGGCAGTGGACGCGGCGGCGGGAGCAGAGGCTGCGGCGGCGGCGAAGAATGCGAGGACGGACTCGGCAGCTGGGAGCTGGGAGGCATGGAATGGCCTCCTAGATGCCTCCGTCCCCGGTCCCTTTGCTGTGGGGAGCGGACGCCTTTTCGAGCCCGCCTCCTCCTCTCCTCCTCCTCTCTGCTCCTGCACACCTCCTGCCTGCCCGCTGGCAGGCGCAAGGCAAGGCCGTCCACGGAAGGTTCCGCTAACGTTCCGAGGCCTAACCTCCCCTGGACGGAGGAGCGCAAGGCGGCGGTGGGCGGCCCATTCTTCCGCTGCGACGGGCTCGGCGGCTCGTGCCCTGAGGTGCGGCCGAGGACGGAGGGCGGAAACTGGGCGAAGCACATGCTTTCCCCGCAGGAGCAGCGCATGCGCGGCACCAGCAAGCGGTTCTGCGGGCAGTGCCGGGTCCCCGCCGACGACTTAAACTAGGAGCTCGGCGCGAAGCACCCGACGGGAGAGGTGGCGCTGGCCGTCAGGGGGGTGAGATGGGGGGAGGCGCCTGTCCCAGGGATAGGGCCGGAGTGCGGAGAGACAGAGAGGGCACATCGACGGGGCTAGGGAGCCTCGTTCGCCCACAGGGCCTTTAGGGCATACATCAAGATCTCTACGGGACACCAGTAGATTTGTTGAGTGGAGATCGTAGATGCCGATCAGAGATCTTCCACACACAGCATCTCTCACAAAACTCAGAGATCTTTAACTGAACGTAGAGATCTTGAGCTGCCGCCGTCGGCACCTCGAGATCTCGGGCTGGAGACGGAGATGTTGACTTCGCGCCAAAGGCGCCTAGAGAATCGTGTGGGGTGTGGCCGACTGGAGATTGCAAAATGGCGCGAAAAGAGGGTGGAGATCCGCTTGAAGGCGTGAAAGGAAAAGAGCATCCCTTAGAAGGACGCCGATTCCCCCCCTGTGTGCTGACACGCCTCCCCCCCACACAGGTCGAGATTGGAGATTGGAGATCGGAGATGAAGATCGCTGATCGGAGAACGCGCCTCCTTGTTCTATGAGCGCGCCGCGATGGAGCTCACCTCGTTAGTCTCTGGACATGACCGAGTTCGCCGCGAACCTGTATCCTCTAAAGACCGAGGAGGAGGCTCGTGGCGCTCCTGAGCGGCATGCACCACTTCCCACCTGGCGTGCCTGAGCGTGCCCGTCGCGTCCATGAGCGGCTGCCCGCCGGGTCGGCAAATGCTCCTCTGACGTCGGCGTGCTGATTAACCGGCTCGACACGGAGGGAGGCCTTGGCGGGTTGTACAAGCATCTCGCGCACACCAAGGAGGGCCCTCTACATCTCGTTCCGAGCATCACCCACTGCGCCGTCTGCGCGCTCAATGGAGAGCAGGTTCCTCTCGCCGTCAAAAGCAGCCTCGGGAATGCGTTAGGACATGGACTTTACCCCGTGGCAAGATGGTGTGTCTGGGGCAAACCATATGACCGGAAATTACATCGCTCGTTTGCAGAAGGCGATAAACGACCTCGCGTGACGCGAGACCCGAGCCTGTGGCGAAGCAGGATTCTGGGATCCCGCTGGAGGCTCGACGTTGGGGCACTGCTGATGAGGTGGTGCTGCAGCGTCTGCGACTGCTCTGGAGCATGGAGTCTGCGACTGCTCTGGAGCATAGAACGCGACTTTGGCCTTGTTTGGGGGGGGGGCGGGGAAAGCGGGAAACACAGCGAAACACACGGCGGTGTTGATGCCATCGGCTGGAGCTAGAGGGCTGGAGAACGTTGGGCGTCTTTGTGTTCCCGGGCATTAACACTACTTCCGCCACCTCGGCGGTGGACACCTCGCGCGCGCGCCTTATCCGCGCGCGATATTTGTAGAGCCAAACTAAGGTAAGACGGAAACTTTTTCCACACACACGAGGTGGTGGGGCAAGGGGGGGCGACCCTCGCGTCTCCCCACATCTAACGACAGGAGGAGCCCCACGGCATTAAAAGTGCGCAAGGGCCAAGGCCCAGTGCGCGCGGCGTGGGGGTGTGAGCGGGGTGTGTGTGTGTGTGTGTCGAGGTGTGTGTGCGTGTGTGCGTGCGTGCGTGCGTGCGTGTGTGTGTGTGTGTGTGTGTGTGTGTGTGTGTGTGTGTGTGTGTGTGTGTGTGTGTGTGCGTGCGTGTGTGTGTGTGTGTGCGTGTGCGTGTGTGCGTGTGTGCGTGTGTGTGCGTGTGCGTGTGTGCGTGTGTGCGTGTGTGTGTGTGTGTGTGTGTGTGTGTGTGTGTGTGCGGCGCGAGAACTCACTTTGAACGAGACGCAACACATGCGGTCGGGCGAGGGCGGCGGCGACTGCAGCGACATCGACGCTGCGGCCAAGGACTTTGTGGCCAAGGCGCAGGTCATCCTCGAGGTGTTTGGAGAGGAGGTGGCGCTCACGGCCGCCCGCTTTGCCTCCTCGTGTGGGCGAGAGACTGTCACTGCGGAGGACATCGCCATAGCAGCAAAGTACGAGGCGCATGAGTTCCTGTCGCGGCCTGACCTCGAGGCGAAAGTTGCAGCCGCCGCGGCTAGACGAGTCGAGGACCAAGGGCTGGGCGAGGAGGAGGACGGCACGGAGGACGTGGAGTCCGGCGACGAGGATCCCGAGGCAGAGGCGGGTTCCGACGAGGACGCCGAGGAGGCGAGGACGCCATTCTCGGCAGCCTTCGTTCGCGGAGGCGCAGAGACGCGCAAGTTTCACGCGGATGCCCTTGCGCGCACACGCGGCTGGGAGTCCTGGTCGCCCGACGACCCGGCGCGGCCTCCGGCAGTGGCGCAACCAATGACGCCTCGCCTGCGGATCGAGTGGGCCTCCCTCCCTCGCAGGTGCGCTGCTTGATCAAGAGCTCGATCGACCATAGCGATGGGGCCTTGCGCCGCTCGCGCGAGGCGGAGCAGGCGTCGTGACGCGTGTGGGCAGCGTGGGGCGAGCGGCAGCCGCACAGACCACACACAGGGTCACACGTCACAGGCGGCCTCGCGCTCGTCTCGCTCTCTCGTAGACTCGGCTTTACGCAAAAGACGCGCTGCGCCACGCGAGTGCGCGCGATGTCAACGATATTACATTCAGAAAAAGAAAAGTTGTCGGTCGGCTCGCCGCGCACCAGACACCGCTGTGACACGTCTCCCCCCGAAAAAGCCACACACACGGGGCAGCCAGGAGCGCAGCCATGACCCGCAGTGCCCACAGCCATGACGCGTGCATCCGCCGCCAGCGCCACTACCGGCTCGGCCGAATTGTGGAGAGAGGGGGACCGCAGCCCCTCTCTCTACTGGTTGCCGCGCCCCGCCGCCTCAAAAGTCGCACGAGCCGGGGTAGCGCGGGAAGGGGATCACGTCGCGGATGTTTGGGATGCCGGTGACGTAGCAGACGAGCCGCTCGAAGCCGAGTCCGTAGCCCGAGTGGGGGACCGACCCGTACCGGCGGAGGTCGACGTACCACCAGTAGTCCTCCGGGTCGAGCCCCGACTCCTCCATCTTGCTCAGCAGCATCGGCAGCCGCTCCTCGCGCTGGCTGCCGCCGATGAGCTCGCCGACACCGGGCACGAGCAGGTCCATCGCCGCAACCGTCTTGCCTAGAGGAAGATTCAGGGAAGGTTCAGGGAAGGTACCGGGCACGAGCAGGTCCATCGCCGCAACCGTCTTGCCTACGCGCAAGCCAACATCAGGCCGGGAGCACGGTATCGCATTCCGAGCACCGCGTGAGTACGAGGGGCTACGAATACAGTGAATACAGCGGAATCCCGTAGAATACAGCGAGTACGCCTCCTCTCGAGCGCTAGTCGGAGTGCAAGAATACGTATTCCGCTTCTGGGCCCGTCTCGCCGTCGTCGTTGTCTCGCATGTAGAAGGCCTTGATGGCCTGCGACGGCGGTGGCGGCGAGGCATCACGGGCGGCGGGGGCGAGAGCGAGGGCGGCGGCTTGAGCGGCGGCGGCGAGGGCGACGGCGGCGGCGAGGGCGGCGGCGCGAGGTAAGGCGCGGCGCGGGCGGCGGCGAGAGCAAAGGCGAGGAAGGGGGCGGCGAGGGGCCTTGGGGTAGTTGTAGACGAAGACGGCGCTGCCGAAGGCGACCTCGGCGAGCCACCTCTCGTGCTCGGTGGCGAGGTCCGTCCCAAACTCGACGCACGGGTACTCCCACTTGGACGGGTCCTTTGCGATCTCTGCGCGCAGCAGCTCGACCGCCTCCGTGTACGAGACGCGCGCGAACGGCGTCTCAACGAGCGCCTGCAGCCGGGCCTTGAGGCCCTTGTCGTAGAACTGCGCAAACATCGCAAAGTCGTCGGCGCACGAGCGGAGCGCGTACTGCACCACGTGCTTGACGTACGCCTCGGCGTTGTCCATGTTTGCGGCGAGGTCGGTGAAGGCCATCTCGGGCTCGATCATCCAAAACTCGGCGAGGTGGCGCGCCGTGTTGGAGTCCTCGGCGCGGAACGTGGGCCCGAACGTGTACACGTCCCCCAGCGCGCTCGCGTACGTCTCCGCGCACAGCTGCCCCGACACGGTCAGGTAGGCGGCGCGGCCTGTTCACAGCCGAAGGTGTGAAGAGACGCTGTTCACAGCTGCCCCGACACGGTCAGGTAGGCGGCGCGACCGAAGAAGTCGTCGGCGAACGGGTCGCCCACCTGCTTCTCCGTGGCCGCCTGCAGCTTCGCCTTGCGCGCGAGCAGCTCCTGCACGGCCCCGTCCACCGCCTCCTTGTCCACCACCGCCGCCTCCTTGAGCGCGCGCACCGCCTCGCCAGCAGACTTTACCGCACGGTCGAGCGCCGCGACGTCGTCTCCGCAGCCGGCGGCGGCGGCCGCAGGCTGCGCCGCCTCGCCCGCAGCCGGCAGCGTGGTGACGCGGAACATCTCGCCGGCGCCTTCGCAGTCGGACGCCGTCAGCAGCGGCGTGTGGACATGCACAAACCCGCGCGAGCGGAAGAACTCGTGCGTGGCAAAGGAGAGGGCGGAGCGGACGCGCATCGCCGCGCCGATGGTGTTGGTCCGCGGCCGCAGGTGGGCGATCGAGCGCAGGAACTCGAGCGAGTGCCGCTTCTTCTGCAGCGGGTACGAGTCCGCGGGGCAGCTGCCGACCAGCTCGACCAACGACGCCCGGAGCTCGATGCTCTGCTCCTTGGCGGGAGAGGCGACCACCTCGCCGCGCACCGCCACCGCCGCGCCGGTCGACAGCGCGTCCACCACGTCGTACGAATCGAGCCCGTCCTCCGCCACCACCTGCACACCCTTGAGCGACGAGCCGTCGTTGACCTCGACGAACGAAAACGACTTCTGCGTCCGCACGGTGCGCACCCAGCCCTTGACCACCACCGTCTCGCCCAGCCGCGCCTCGCCACCCTCGAGCAGGCTCGCCACGCGCACCCTGCTCTCGGCCACCAGGCTCGGCGGCGCAGCCGCGGCAGTGGCGGCCGCAGCCGAGGAGGACGCCGCAGCTGCGCTCGCGACCGGCGCGTGCGCGAAGCGGGAGGCGAGTACGCGCGCGCTGCGGCCGCCGATGAGCGTGCGCGTGGCGGCGGCGCGGCAGGCGGTCAGAAGCATGAGGAGCGGGAGCATGTACAGAGGAGAAAGCGTGTGTGGAGGCAGCAGTCCGGCAGCGCGAAGCGGGCGGCGAAGGGGAATTCTTGCGGTACAAGCCTCTCTCACAGCACACTGGCACGACAAGGGCGCAGACTGGCTGGCGCGGACTGGCACACACACAGGCTCACCACCGGAGCCGCCTAAGCGACTCCGTTAAGAACGGCAATGCACTCCGCACCATGCACAATGCCGCTCTCCCCGCACGCTAGCTCGTTCACCGTCTGCCACGCCACGGCGGTGTGGAGGACGACAGACAAGCGCTGCATCTGCAGCCCGTGCCAGTTCTTGGTGGTCCATGTGACCTCGTCCAGGTGCTGAGCGTGCGAAAGTTTGTTGCTCAGCTGGTTCGCCGCCTCCCTCAGGGTGCTGCGAACCTCCTTTCCAAAGCCTCCGAAAGCCTCAAAATCAAACAAACGTAGATCGCAATCCTGCTGCCGCGCAAAGGGGTAATCGCCAGGCTGCTCCTTGAGCTTTCCCTTGGGGGCATCCTCCTCCTGGGCGGCCGCGGCGGCAGGGGCGGCAGCGCAGGGGGCGAGCGCACAGGCGAGGGCGAGGGCGAAGGCGGGGACGGGGCCGGCGGGAGGCGCGAGAGGAGGGCAGGAGGGTGGCCATCACCCGACCACACACCCACTGGCGCAGGGGGCGGCCTCACCTCTGGCCCGAGGGCCCGCGCCGCAGGCGGCGGGGCGCCCGCCTCCGCCGCCACCGTCCCGTCCGCCGCATCCTCGGTGGAGGCAGGAGCCCGCGCCTCGTGCTCGGGGAGGGCAGAGGCATCCGGCGAGAGGAAGGCGCGGAGGTCGTAGGCCGAGCAATTAGCGATGTAGAAGAGGACGTGCCCGTGGCAAAGTCGGCGCTTCGAGGGGTCCGAGCAAGAGGAGCAACAGCAGGCGAGAAAGAAACCCGCGAGCTCCCGCCGGACGCGCTCGACAAAAGCAGGGCTGGCCCGAAGGCGCGCAGCAAACTCGCGGACGCACTCCCTGCGCCCAAACGAGTCGCGCGGATCGCGAAGGGGGAAAGGGTTGCCCCAGGGAGACGAAGCGCACTGCGCGCCCAGGTCAAACCCGGACCTGAGTCGCGGGTGGACGCAGCCCTGGCAGCCGCCGCATCGCATGACGCTCCGCCACTCGCCGCCGCCTCGCGGCCCCGCCCGCCGCAGCTCGCTCTGGTTCCCCACCCGCCGAAGGGCCTCCCGGAGGACAACCACGTCGGCGTCGTCCAGACTGACGCCAAGCACATCGCAGAGCTCCTCCTCGAGAGTGAGAAGGGGCTGGCGAGGAAGCGGGTGGCCAGCGCGGCGGCAGACGTCGCCTCGCAGCAGGCGCCTCGCAGCAGGTCGCCTCGCAGCAGGTCGCCTCGCAGCTGCTCGCCTCGCAGCTGCTCGCCTCGCAGCTGCTCGCCTCGCAGCTGCTCGCCTCGCAGCTGCTAGGCGGCTCGCCTCGCTGCTGCTCGCCTCGCAGCTGCTCGCCTCGCAGCTGCTCGCCTCGCAGCTGCTAGGCGGCTCGCCTTGCTGCTGCTCGCCTCGCTGCTGCTCGCCTCGCTGCTGCTCGCCTCGCTGCTGCTCGCCTCGCTGCTGCTCGCCTCGCTGCTGCTCGCCTCGCTGCTGCTCGCCTCGCTGCTGCTCGCCTCGCTGCTGCTCGCCTCGCTGCTGCTCGCCTCGCTGCTGCTCGCCTCGCTGCTGCTCGCCTCGCTGCTGCTCGCCTCGCTGCTGCTCGCCTCGCTGCTGCTCGCCTCGCTGCTGCTCGCCTCGCTGCTGCTCGCCTCGCTGCTGCTCGCCTCGCTGCTGCTCGCCTCGCTGCTGCTCGCCTCGCTGCTGCTCGCCTCGCTGCTGCTCGCCTCGCTGCTGCTCGCCTCGCTGCTGCTCGCCTCGCGGCTGCTCGCCTCGCGGCTGCTCGCCTCGCGGCTGCTCGCCTCGCGGCGCGCCCGGCGGTCGAGCTGAGGCAGCAGCGCCAGGAGGGGCCTCCAGGTGCTCGCCGCCCCATCGCGGCGGCCGGCCGGCCGAGCTCTGCTGAAGCGTGCACGGGATGCCTTTTGCATCCAGGCGTCGTCCTGCGGAGCGCGGCCCACCGGCCGGTGGCGCGCATGCCGAGCCAGAGTCCTCGCGACCGGTGCCAGCGGCAGCGGTCGCGCGCGGCTGTAGCCGCGTAGGAGCCCTGGGTCGGCCACCGTGGCCACTGCCCAAGGCAGCGGCCACCATGGCAGCGCGCTACGGCGTCTGCCAAAAAAGAACTCCCAAAAATTCTTTTTCATTTTTCTCTGCAGCTCGGAGTCGAAGAAGGCCTATAGGATTCCTTTTTTCGCGGTCTGTATAACTCCTCTCTTTCTTGGAGCCTTCGCCAGGTCGTGTGAAGAGCACCGATGCCGCAGTGAGTGAGTGGTCCCGGGCCCTGCGGGGAACTAAGACGGCGCAAGTTAGTCAGCGAGGAGCGAGGGCTAGTGCTGGTGCGCCGAGGCGGGCCGCTCGTTCGTAGTGCCCTTCGCCGGCGGACGGAGGCGCCTCTATATACTATATTTTGGCCTCGAGTTTTTCGAGCTCTCCTCGCGCAAGGACGACGCCCACTCCGATCATTTCCCGTCAAGTCATGTCGTTAGGTCCTCTCTCGTTTCGGACACCGGTAAAGAAAGAAAGAAAGAAAACACACAACCCAAGGGAGGGATGGGAGAACGGCACGCCGCCACCACACAGGGATTTTAAGGAGAGGAGTGTGGTGCGCTAGCCGTCGCCCACCCTGGGGAGTCTGCCTCTTCGTATCTCTTTTCGCAGTCTCTCGCCGCTTCTCGCTGCAACCTTCATGCCACCTCGCGGCCGTCCCACTCTCGTCGGACACCGGTAAGAAATAAGAAAGAAATAAAACAGACACGCCAAACGAGGGATGGGACGAGGACAGGGTCCCCACCTGCACGAGCAGGATTTTGGAAGGACGATCAGGGGGACAGGTGGGGCTCTCCTGCTCCTGACAAGGGACACGACAGGCTCGCAGCGCGGTGCGCGGTGGACTCCCACATCCACTGGCGGTCTCATCTCAGTCTAGCGACCTGCCTCCAGCTTGTCGCTGGTAGTCTCTCCTACCACAGGCACACTGACACAGGGGTGGCAGGGGCGGCGGCACGAGTCTCCCACATACCATGCGGGCCTCACTAGAGGTGCGGCCTGTGCGTGTCCTCGCCCTTGAGGGGGGAGGGGAAGGGGCTGTGTGTCTGTGCATGTGTGTGTGTGTGTCTGTGCATGTGTGTGTGTGTGTGTGTGTGTGTGTGTGTGTGTGTGTGCGTGTGCGTGTGCGAGCCGCCCTGAACGCCACGAGCGCGCCGCGAGCGCCGTAGCGCCGGCGAGCGCCGTCGGCAGCGCGCGACCGCCACCCAAAAGTGGAGGTACATTAGGAGCCGCAGCCGGCCTGCTCTATCAGCCCCGCAGCCGCGGTGGCGCGACCGGACCGCGGTCGCTCCAGGCGCCTTTTGGCCCCGGTTCGAATCGCGGTTGGCGCGCGCCCTCGCGGAGCGACGCGTGGCGCGCGACGCGCGCGCGTGCGCGTGCGCGCCCAGCCGAGCCCTAGGCCGTATGCCGTCTGCCGTCTGCCGTCTGCCGTCTGCCGTCGGCCGTCGGCCGTCGGCCGTCGGCCGTCGGCCGTCGGCCGCCGCCGCCGCCGTAGCGGCGGCGAGCGCTCGCCTTTTGCGCGACGCGCAGTGTGGACGCGCGCCGCCCAGCGCCGGACGTGCCGGAGCCGGTCCGGCGCGCGCGCGGGCGGCCAGCGCCTGTAAACAGACAGCTGCCGCCCACACGTTCAAAGGTCTCCTGTGCACACCGGTACCTCCACAGAAGTGCCTCGGCGGATTTCTTTTAGCTAAGAAGCGCCGGCTCAGACTCGCTCGGCGTTCGCTGCCCTCGGGCTGTGCCTCTCCAGGTACCGACGGCGCACGCTCTCCCGACTCGCCGCGGACGCCCAGTCGCCACCCCCGCCAGCGGCCTCGCCTCGCTTGCCCCCCCCCTTGCGCCTCGGCCGCCCGTCGCCGCCCCTCGGTCGTCGGTAGCCTTTCGCCGCGCTCCCTGCCGCGCATCGGCGGCCGACCTCCGCCCGCCCGCTCCCCCCCCTCCGCAGAAGCCCCCCCCCCTCGCGGCAGCCATGGCGATGCGCGGGCTGACCGTCTTCATCTCGGACCTCCGCAACTGCTCCTCCAAGGAGCAGGAGGAGAAGCGGGTCGAGAAGGAGATGGCGCACATCCGCTCCAAGTTCACGTCCGACTCCAACATGAACGGGTACAACCGCAAAAAGTACGTGTGGAAGATTCTGTACATGTACATGCTCGGGTATGAGGTCGACTTCGGCCACATGGAGGCCGTCAACCTCCTCTCCTCCCAAAAATACTCTGAGAAGAGTGTCGGGTACGCGTGGTGCGCGCTGATGCTGCGCGAGGGGGACGAGCTGCTGCGGCTAATCATCAACTCGATCCGGGTGGACCTGATCTCGCGGAACGACAACGCGGTCTGCCTCGCGCTCAACTCCATCTGCAACGTCGGAGGCAAGGAGTTCGCCGAGACCCTCTCCAACGACGTGCTCAAGCTGCTGACGCACAACATCACTAAGACGTACGTCCGGAAGAAGGCGGCGCTGACGGCGCTGCGGCTCTTCCGAAAGTCGAACGACACGCTGCCGGCGGAGCAGTGGGCGGACCGGATTCTCGCCCTCCTCGACGAGAAGAACATCGGCGTCCTCACCTCGGTCACCTCCCTCGTCCTTGGCGTCCTGGCGGTCGACTCGGCCGGCTGGGAGGCGGCGGCACCAAAGGCGGCGCGCACGCTGACGCGGCTCGTGCTCAACAAGGACTACTCGAACGACTACCTGTACTACGGCATCCCCACCCCGTGGCTCCAGATCAAGCTCCTCAAGGTGCTGCAGCACTTCCCGCCCCCCGAGGAGCACGCTCTCAAGCTGCGCGTCTCGGAGGTGCCGCCGCCCGGCCCGCACCGCCGCCCGGCCCGCACCGCCGCCCGGCCCGCACACATCTAGCCGCGAGGGCGCAGAGAGGGCGCAGAGAGCGCGCAAGAGGGGCAGCCGAGACGCACCCAAGCTGCAGCCTGCAAGCTGCGCATTGCAGAAGCGACGCCGCTGCCCCGATGAGCCAGCGGACAAAAGAAGACCTGCCTTAGAGCCGGCAGACACCCTCTCCCCACCACCACCACCACCACCACCACCACCACCACCACCACCACGTGCAGGCCCCTCTTCTCCATCCCCGCCACCCACGCCCGCCGCCACCGCCGCTCGCCTCCCGCTCTCCCGCCCTCCGATCCCGCACGGCGCGCCCCCTCGCCCGTGGCCGCAGGTGCTGCAGCGCATCGTCTCCGGCACCGAGGTGACCAAGAACGTCAACAAGAACAACGCGACGCACGCGGTGCTCTTCGAGGCGATCAACCTCTCCATCCACCTCGGGCAGTCGTCCGAGACGCTGCCGCAGTGCATCAACTTGCTCGGTCGCTTCATCTCGATCCGCGAGGCAAACATCCGCTACCTCGGGCTCGACACGATGGCGCGCCTCAGCCAGGAGCAGCCGCACACGCTCGACGACCTGAAGAAGCACCAGTCGACGATCCTCTTCTCGCTCAAGGACCCGGACATCTCGATCCGCCGCCGCGCGCTCGACCTCGTGTACGCGATGTGCGACACCGCCACCGTCAAGGAGACGGTGAGCGAGCTGCTCAACTACCTTGACAACGCGGACGACCACATCAAGGAGGAGCTCGTCCTCAAGATTGCCATCCTGTCGGAGCGGTTCGCGTCGGACAACTCGTGGTACGTGGACGTGGTGCTGCAGCTCGTCCGCTCGGCGGGCGACCAGGTGGCGGACGAGGTCTGGTACCGCATCGTCCAAATCGTCACCAACCAAGGCGAGGACCTGCAGCGCTACGCCGCGCAGGGCGTCTGGACCATCCTGAACGCCGAGGTGCTGCCGCACAAGAACCTGGTCAAGGTGGCCGGCTACGTGCTCGGCGAGTTCGGGCACACCATCGCGGAGTCGCCCGGCTCCTCGCCCTCGGAGCAGATCACGCTGCTGCACAAGCACTTCCGCAACGCCGACCCGGACGTGCGCGCGCTGCTGCTCAACACGTACGTCAAGATCGCGCACACCTACGCCGAGGTGGCGCAGATGGTGTCCGAGGTGATGCAGCAGCACTCAGCCGCGATGGACCAGGAGGTGCAGCAGCGCGCCGCCGAGTACATCTCGCTCTCCGCCCCGTCGCTCGCCTCGATCAAGGGCACCGTGCTCGAGATGATGCCGCACTTCACCGAGCGCGAGTCCATCGTCTCCAAGGCGCTCGCCTCAAAGTCGAAGGGCGACGACCCGGAGGCGCCGACGAGGCGCGTCGAGCCGCGCGCAGAGGCTGCGCACGCCGAGGCGGCGCCGCCGCCGCCGCCACCCAGCCGCCAGGAGACCCCCGACCTGCTCGGCGGGCTTGCGGACGAGCCGGCGGCGCCCGCGCCGCCGCCGGGAGGAGGGGGCGGCGCCGGCTCGGCCGCCGACCTGCTCGGGGGGCTCGACCTCGGCGGCGGGGGCGGGGCGGCGCCGCCGCCGGCCGCGCCGTCGAGCGGGGCCGACGACTTGCTCGGCCTGATGGGCGGTGGCGGCGGCGGGGCGGCGCCGTCGGGCGGAGGCGGCGGCGACTTGCTCGACGCGCTCGGCGGCGGCGCGCCCGCCGCGCCCGCCGGGGGGGCGGCGGCGGGCGGCGGCCCGTCGCCGCAGTGGCTGGCGCTGTGCATGCGCAACGACGGCGTGCTGTTCGAGGACGCGACGCTGCAGATCGGCGTCAAGATGGAGTTCAACGGCCACCAGGGCCGGATGGCGCTCTTCTTCGGGAACAAGGGGCAGTTCCCGCTGCAGCAGCTGGCGACGGTCCTCTCGCCCTGCCCCCAGCTTGCGATCCAGGTCTCGCCGCTGCCGTCGACGCTGCAGCCGCGGCAGCAGCTCTCGCAAAACTTCCTGATCGAGTGCAACGCGCCGTTTGGCGACGGGCCGCAGGTCAAGGTGAGCTTCATGGGCGGCTCGGGGCCGGCGCAGATTGTCGCCAGGCTGCCTCTCAACCCGAGCAAGTTCTTTGCGCCGCTCGTGACCGACGGAGGCGACTTTTTCCGCCGCTGGAAGCTGTTCGAGGGCAAGGAGCTGCAGAAGATCTTCAAGCTCAAGACGGCGCCCCTCGCGGAGCCCGAGGTGGAGCGCGTCTGCGCGGGAAGGGACACGTCCAGGACACGTCCGAGACATGTCCGAGACATGTCTCCCTCAGGTGGAGCGCGTCTGCGCGGGCGGGATGAAGATGGCGGTGCTGCGCGGCGTCGACCCGAACACGGCAAACTACGTGGTCGCCGGGTGGATGGCCGTCAAGGGCGGCGCGCCGCAGAGCGACACGGCGTCGGTGCTCATGCGGCTCGAGGCGCAGCGCCCCTCCCCGCCGCCCCTCCTCCCCCGCCGCTGCCCGCGTGGCCCCTCCTCCCCCGGCCGCCCTCTTGCCTCCGCAACCCACCGACGCTGCCCCTCCCTCACCCGCCGCGCGCGCAGGTCAACGCAGCAGCAGGCATGTGTCGTGCGTCGGTGCGCGCCAGCGACGCCGGCCTCGCCACGGCGGTGGCCCAGATCGTGCAGAGCCACCTCGCGGCGCCGTGATGCAGTCACGCGCTCGCGGGCCAAAACCTCGCCCTACTGTGACTGGCCGCGAGGCCGGAATGTCGGCGGCGCGCGCCGCGCGCCCGACACGAGGACACATGGTCGCGCTCGTTTTGTACGGTGTGTCGCTAGGGGGCAGTCGTTGCCCCGGGGGGATTGAGGCAGGGGATGGGACGGGCGGCGGCGGTATAAGAGAGAGCGCGCGGAGGTTGAGGGAGAGTTTAAGAGAGGTAGAGAGACGGGGTTGAGGGGAGAGAGAGAGTGCAGGGCGTGGAGAGCATCGCTCGTCTCATAAAATCGCATTCTAGAGCTATTAATATAATTTTAATTAGAAATTACACCTGGCAAAATCTCTCCACTCTCGGCATATATCATATTAATTAATTTATATCTACCGTCCTAATCTACATACTACTTTGTACTTTTAGTACTCTTTGAGATATATCTTACGTCATCATTGTAGCGGCACAACGACGAAAGACACTAGACACCGCGAGAGACGGCAGAGCGCAGACGCGCGCGGGCGCTACAAGACTCAAGACACAAAAAGAGAGCACGAGGCGCGTACACACGTGTGTCGGCCGCTCATCAGTCCTCTCGTGACTTGCACGCTCATGTGTGTGTTCGAGTGTGTTCGGCCGCTCATCAATCCATGGGCTCGGGCGTCAGCGTGGCCGTCGAGGCGGGCGTGGGCAGGTCGGAGCCGGCGCTCGGGGTGAACGATCGCTGCATGCGCAACGCCGCGACCGGCGTCCCCGCCGGAGCGCTGGGCATGCCACCGGCGGCGGCGGCGGCGCTCTCTCTGCTCTCGCGCGCTCGCCGCGCGAGACGCTTCTGCAGAAAGCGCGCGATCTCCCACGGCCCGTCCTCGGTGTAGTCTAGCCACGCCTCGGTCGTGCCCGGCGTCCACCGCGCCGCGCTGCCGAACTCGCTCAGCGCTATCTCCTCGGCGCGGCGGCGGCTGTCCGCCTCAGAGGCGCCTGGCGCGTCGGTGGCGCGATACACGTCCATGGCGATGTGCTCCGCCGCGCGCTTGAGGTCCATCTGCAGCGACTCGTCGCAGCGGTCGAAGGCGGACAACCACTCCTCCTGCTTCCGCTTCCGCGCGTCGGCGCACAGCTCCTGCGCGCGCAAATAGTCGGAGACGATCTTCACCTTGAGCACGTCCACGTGGCAGAAGAAGTGCTCCCAGAAGGTCGCCTCGGAGATGCTGCCCGGGACCAGCGTGTCGATCGCCTTCTGAATCAGCGGCCCGAGGCCGCGGTCCCGCAGCGCCGCCGCGGCCGCGGCCGCCTCGTGGTCGTCTAGCTCGTGGTCGGGCGAGTCTGTGGGCTCCAGCTGGTCGGGCCGGAAGCAGAGCGCCTCCGGATCGTTGGTGAGCAGGAGCTTGACGTGCGATATTACGAGCCACCGCACGTCGTCCGGCACGCCCTCCCACAGCACGAGCTCAGTGCCGTCGCTGTCGCCGCCAAAATCGGCGGTGAGCTTCTTGGCAGCGGTGCGCGCTGTCTCGACGAAGCGCGAGGTTTCCTGGCCCATTGCGCGTGGCCGAATGAGCGAGCGCAGTGTCTCACACCAACCACGCACGCCCTTGAACACGAAAAGAAAAAACGCTGCCTCAGCGGAACTGGGAGAGGACCGCCGCACAAAGCTGCGCCTCCCAGCTGCACAAACAGGCGCACAACAGAGCACAGCGCACAGCACACGCCGGCGCGCGCGCAGCACACGCAGACGCACGCGCGATTCCAACACGCACACGCGCACAGTACGCGCGCATCGCACGCCAGCGCAGCGCCGCACACAGAGCACACTTGCCCACATCAGCAGCAGCCAGCCTGCCACAATCCTCATCTCACACACGCGCGCGCACACTCCCCCACTGCCGGCGCACGCATCGGGCGTCGCCGAGAGGAACCAGAAGAACCAGAGAGTCGGCTTGAGGCCTTGAGGGATCCAGATCTGGATCCCTCAAGGCCTCAAGCCGACTCCCTCAAGGCATCAAGGCATCAACCTGGCTCCTTCCAGGCATACCTAGCCCCCTTCAGGCACCAATCAGAATCTTCCCAGGCATTATCCTGACTCCATCCAGGCAGGAGCTGGCTGCACCTCGCGATATCCCGCTCCATCTCGCCTAATCCCGCCCCATACCGTCTAATCTCGCCTCGCCTCGCCTCATCTCGCCTCATCTCGCCTCATCTCGCCTCATCTAGCCTCATCTCACCTCATCTCGCCTCATTACGCCGCACGACGTGACCCGAGATCGACCCGAGATTGACCCGGGATTGACCCGAGATCGACCCGAGATCGACCCGAGATTGACCCGAGATCGACCCGAGAGATCGACACGAGATCAACCAGAGATCGACCCAACGAGGCCCCTCATCCCCTCTCTGGGGGGGAGATTGACTCAACAAGGCCCCAAAGCCCCCTCTCTGGGGGGCCCCTCCCCCCCCACCCCGAGTGTCCGTGTCTTCGCGAGTCACCGATGGGGAGCGGGGGGGGGGGGGTGCGAAAAACCAACAGGGGAGGCTGGGGAGGGGGGGGTCCCCTCTGAAAACTGCCGACCGCGGAGGGGTTTTGTCCCACAGGGTTTTACCCTCCGCGTGAGGATCGGCCATAGTCTGAGGGTTAGGTTTCTGGAGCCTCGGGTGCTTTTACGCTTTTGATCGGGTCAGGGGAGAGTGCGACTTTTACCACTTTGGTCGTCTCGGAGCGCCCAACTTTTAGCATGTTTCAAAAATTTCTTCGGCGCTGCGCGCCGCGGGTGCAGCAAGTACTAGCTATCCCTATCGTCCCGCAACGGCAAAGTAGTTCCCGCACACTTATGGCTAAAAAAATGCTGCCGCTCGCCCCTCGAAAGCGCCCGCCGGTGTGTGTCCAGACATGTAGCGCTACAAGTTTGTGACACATAAGGACGCATCCTCCCACAACACTTCACCCGCTGGCTTGGTTGCAGCTGCCGAGGTACCATCTGCCGGCTTGGGGGGGCTAGTGGCATTCGCCGGAGAGTAGAATGTCCAAAATTTTCGCGCGCCTGCGGCGGCGCGACTTTTACCATTTTGCCCCGGGCGGGCCCACTTTTGTCGTTTTGCCCCAAATCTACGGCTAGCCGTGCTTTTAGCGTTTTGACCCAAATCGGCCGAACTTTTAGGATACCCTCAGACTATGGGATCGGCGCGGCGAGGGGGTAGGCTCGAATTCGCCGCGCAACATTTCACACCCCCACAGGACCCCGCCCTCCCCCCCTCATTGGTCCCACCACCTAGAACCCCAACCTTGGCTTCGCACCCCCTCCTTGCGCAGTGTCCCCCGCTATGTGTCGCCGTCTTTCGGGGCACGCAATCCTGTGCAGTCAGGGCAAGTGGGGGCGAGGCGCACACCCTCTGGTCTATACTGGTGTGGTTCTGTCCCTAGTCTCGGAGGGGGGCTTGAAGGTAAGAATATTTTATTTCCTAATCTCTTCAGGTGGCGTTTATTTTTGCTTGGGCGGACCTCATGACGGGGTAGGTAGGGTAGGTCTGGGCCCTCCCGTCGGGGGTTTCCCTCTCTTCAAGCTGGAATTTTCACAGCAGAAAAAGAAATTTTCCGCGGAAATCACGATGTCAACCCTCCCCAAATGGGTGATCTGATGCTTGTAGGGCTTGAGAGTGGCCTCCCATGTCACAAGAAGGACTGTGGATGCAGGAGAGTACCACCAACCATCACTCTAGTTGGTATAGTACCCCACCTTCACCCATCAGGTGATTTCTTTTTTAGTTTCCCATAAGTAGGGTAGGTAGGTAGGTAGGTAGGTAGGTAGGTAGGGGCACCGCAGGGGCCGGCCAGGGTTTTTGCAGAATTTCATCATGAGGTCCGCCCAAGCAAAAATAAACGCCACCTGATCTCTTCGTACATCCTCCTGCTGATCTCCGCAAAGTCCTGACGTAGGGCGTGCTTGCGCGCCTTTCTGAGGCCCCTCCAACCCACCCGCGCTAGGTCCCGGGGGACGCAGGGGTCAGCCCCGCGCGACCTCGGGAACTAGCCGGGGCAGTCGGAGAAGTGGGAGAGAGAGAGATTTTTATTAACCAACAAGAAATCACGACTCTCACAGTGATTTGGGCTCGGCAGCTTGTTAGCCCTCAGCCGAAGCTGGGGCCGGTCCCGTAGCCGAGAGAGCCCGCGCTTCTAGAAGTGGCAACTCCGTGCACTGACGGTCGGCCGTCAGAAAACACGCCTCCGTGGCTCGGGTTACACCAATCCTCGCTACCCAACGCGGCCAAAGGATATCCACCTCGAGAACCTCGAGAACCTCCCACCCTCGTCTCGCCCTGCGCGACTGCTCCGGCTCCCCGTCGTCTGCCCTGCGTCGTCTGGCGACTGGTCCTCCATAGTCGGTTGATGTCGCCGCCCTCCTCGTGACACACACACACACACACACACACACACACACACGCCCTCCTCGTGCCTCTTCCGCTCGCTGCCTCAAAAATTCTTTAATTGCGAAAAATTTCCCGCCGGCCGAATGCTCGGCACCTTCGCCCGCTGCTCGCTTCACACGCCGCTCCGCACGCCGCTGCGCGCGCCGCTCAGCGCGTCGTCGGCGCTCCACCGCGCCTGCTTGCCGTTTCTTCGCCCGCCTGCGGCTCGCCTCTGCACAGGCACCGGCGGACGGACAAAGACGGCGCGCGAGGGCAGGAGCCGTCGGTGGGGCCCAGTCTCTGTGCTCGAGACCGTGCCAGCCGGGCTCGTCTTTCTCGACTACCTCGGCACGGCCGCCTTCGCTGCCTCAGGGTGCCTCGTCGCCGGCCAGGCCGGCATGGACACGCTCGGCTGCGTCTTTGTCGGCACCATCACCGCGCTCGGCGGCGGGACCGTCCGCGACGTGCTGCTCGGCCGGCTGCCCGTCTTCTGGTTCCGGGAGACATCCTTCCTCCTCCTCTCGATCGGCGTCGGCCTCGCAACCTTCTTTGGCTCCGAGTCGCTCGAGACCGTGGGGCTGCTGCGCGCGGACGCGCTCTTCCTGGGCGACACGCTGGGCCTGGGCGCCTTCGCTGTCGTCGGCGCGCAGGCGGCCATTTCGGCGGCCATGCCCTTCTCCGTCTGCTGCCTCTGCGGCATGCTCACCGCCACCTGCGGTGGGCTGGTCCGCGACGTCCTCGTCGGGAGGCGCAACCAGGGCGCGCGCCACGCCGCGCCACCGCGATGCCGCGCCCGCCGTGCCGCGTCGCACACGTCCCCTCCACCGCAGGCATCCTCTACTCTGGCGAGGGCGAGGCGGGTGCGCTGTACGCGCCCACCGCGCTCGCCGGCGCCGCGCTCTACGCAGGCCTCGTCTCGGTGGTGGCGCGGCCGGCGGCCATTGTGCTCGGGGTCGGGAGCACGATTGCGATGCGGAGCCTCGCCTACTCGTACCGCGTCCGGCTGCCGGCGATGGAGCGCTTCGTCAGCTCGGAGCAGGAGTCGGCGCCACAGCCCGGCCTCGCAGTCGGCGACGCGCACATCTTTGTGACTGCGTACGGCGCCGACCGGCTCGGGCTTGTCGCGCGGCTGAGCGAGTGCATCTCGGCGGCGCGCGCAAACATCTCCGCCTCCAAGATCATCACCATCGGCGACGACATCGCCTTCATGATGGTCGTGTCGGCGCCGTCCGGCGGGGCGGACGCGCTGCGCAAGTCGCTCGTCGCGGCGGGCAGGCAGGGCGGGCTGCGCGTGGAGACGTCGCGGATCGACGTCTCGACGCCCGAGGGCAAGATTGGCCGGCGCCCCTCGCTCGGCGGCGCGGCGTGCGCGCGTGTCGAGCTGCTTGGAGTCGACCAGCCCGGCTTGGTCTCCCGCGTCTCCTCCTTCCTCGCGACACACGGCCTCAACATCCAGTCGCTCGACTCGCGCGTCTACTCCGGCGCCGCGCATGCCACCGACGGCGGCGACCATGGCGCCCCAGGGCACGCGGCCCGCCGCACGCCCTCGTACCGGCAGGCCGCCGCCAGGGCGGTGGAGACGGGGGTGAGCCGAGCCGTCACCGCGCGCGCCGAGGGCGACCTCTTCTGCCTCTCGGCCGTCGTCTCGAGCGAGCGGCACCCCGATTTTGCGCAGCTGCAGGCCGAGGCGGCCGCCTTTGAGGCGCGCCACGGCGTGAGCCTGACCATCCAGCCGCTCGAGGCGGCCGCGGCTGTCGAGCAGAGGTGAGGCACGCGCACGGAGAGGCGTGAGGTGTGCGGCAGACCGTAGAAACACGAATCATGATATCAGAATTCAAACCGAGACCGCACAGGGAGTAGAGTCTGGCAGACACATATACTGTACGCGAGAGAGACTTATGGTCTTATGCACGTGTTTCTTCCCAAAACTGCGCACAAACCAGCGATATATGCTCACGCGCTCTCCCTCGAACCAGCAGCAACACACGCCTCGGCCGCAAAGACTCCCGAGTCGGGATCGCCACATGCATACCGGTGGTCAGAGCTGCGGCTCGCGGTACTGTCCGGCCGGCCCGAGCGAGACGGCGGCGGTGATAGTGGCGAACGCCAAGCCGACGGCGAGTAGGCCCCACCCCCACGGGCACTGGCCACCGCACTTCTCCCCGGCGGTGGCGTCGTGCACCGTGCCGACGAGCGACGGGCCGAGGAAGCCGCCGAGGTTGCCGACCGAGTTGACGACGGCGATCGACGCGGGCGCGAGCGGCGCGGGCAGCCCGCCCATGTGCAGCGCCCAAAAGACGGGCACCGCGGTCTGCACCGCCACGTCGGCGGCGGCGACGAGCGAGACGAGGCCGAGGGAGGGCGGACCCGACGAAACGACCATCGCGGTGGCGGCGAGCAGCAGCAGGCCGGCGCCGGCGCCGAGGAGCCGCACGACGGCGGCGAGCCGGCGGGCGTGCCCTCCTGCGTCGGTGTAGCGCGCGACGAGCGGCATGGCGGCCACCTTTGCGACGGCGGGGACGGCGAGCAGCCAGCCGACCTGCGCGGTAGAGTGCGGCAGCTGCTGTTGCTGCTGCTGCTGTCACCTCCGGTCCACACGGGTACCCCCGTGCTAGGACAACAAGGCCCCACGGGACACGGCGTCTCCACACTAGGCGGAGTCACACATGTGCGGCAGCGCCTCGGAGGAAGTGTCTCGGAAGTGTCTCGGAAGTGTCTCGGAAGAGTCTCGGACGGATTTGCCGACCTGCGCGGGCGAGGTGCCGGCGGGGAGCGCCTCGCGGAGCTGCGTGGGGAGGAAGAAGCGCGACACGTTGAGCATCATGCTGCAGCCGACGTACTGCACCGCAAACATCCACGTCCGCCGCTCGCGCAGCGTGGTGCGCAGCGAGCGCTTCAGCGGCGGCGGCGGCGCGGCGCTCCGGCGGCCTCGCCCCACGGCGGCGAGGAGCGCGTCGCGGCGGCGGGGAGGCCAGCCGCGCAGCCAGCTCGTCGCCTCGGGCGACTCGGCGAGCAGGAGGGGCGTGCAGGCACCGAGCGCAATCGCGGGGAGGCCCTCGAGGAGGAGGAGCCAACGCCAGCCGCGCACGCCGCGCACGCCGTCGGTGAGCTGCATGAGCAGGCCCGAGCCCGCCGTGCTGAGCAGCCCGCCCGCCGACGTCGCGGTGGCGAAGAGGGCGACCGCGCGGCCGAGCGACTGCGGCGGGAACCAGCGCGAGAGCAGAAACAGGCAGCCGGGGTAGAAGGCGGACTCGGCGAGACCGAGGAGGAAGCGCAGCGCGCAGAGCGCGGCGGCGTCGCCGACGAGCGACGTCGCAGCCGACACCGCACCCCAGGATATGGTTGAGACGGCGAGCACACGGACGGGCCCGATCCGGCTCGCCAGATGGTTCGACGGCACCTGCATCAGCCCGTACGAGAGGTAGAAGAAGCCGGACGCCACGCCGAATGACTGCGCCGTCAGAGCGAGGTCCTGCTGCATCTGAAGTGCCGCGAAGCCCAGGTTGGTTCTGTCGACGATGTTGAGCACGTAGCCGAGCCACAGGACGGGCACCACGCGCCACCACAGGTGGCGAAAGATCTCATCGTGCTCCTCGTCGGACGCCGCCTCCTCGCACGCCGGGTGCAAGGCTGACGACTCCCGCAAAGCGGCCAGCTCCTCGTCGGCCATCGCTTGGTCGTTGGGAAGCCAGAGCTCCCTCGCACGACACTGGGCACGGGACTGGCGCGTCTGGGTGTGCCCGGGGGTGGGGTGGAGTGCGCCCCGCCGTAAAAACCGCTTGTTTTTCTCTTTTCCCGCGTTCCTGCAAAAGCGTTTTTAACCTCTCTTGACGCGCGCTCCGCCGCCTCTGCCGCCTCTGCCGGCAGCGCACAGACTCTCTCACGACTGCTCCCGTTCCGCCCCAATCCACGCCTCGACGCCGTCGGCGCCCACAAGCACCCGGCACCTCAAGCCTCACACGCTGGACCGGGTCCCAACCATGGCCCACCATCCGATGGCCGCTCCTAGCGCCGCCGTCGCGCCGCTGCCTCCGCCGCTGCCGCAGCTTCGGCGCGACCCCCCCCGGGTGCGCGAGAGGAAACAGGAAAGAGAGGGCGGTGGGCGACGGTGCATGAATGCTCACGGGGACGCATGTACGTCAGGGAAAAGGCGGCGCATGGGCTGTGGACCTTTGGTTGTCCGTGTCAAAGGATTGTTGTCCGTGACAATGAAGCGCTGAGCTGAAAAGAATTTTAAAGGCTCGCACAGCACGATTCACGCGACACTGGATTCGGGAATTTTTGGTGAAATGAACTCGGGGGCACGGGACGCGGCACAAACGGGGCACAAACGCCAGGCTACAAAGACGGGGAGGCACGTAGTGACGCAGGGGAGTCTAGGCGACGGCGGCGTCCTCCGACGCCGCGGCGAGCCTGAGCTCGGTCGCAATCTCTTCCGCCGCCGCGAGCTGCAGCGCGACTGACATGCGCTGGGCCTGCAGCGAAAGCCACGACCGCGTCGACCAGCTCGCCTCGTCCTCGTGCTGCCGCTTCGAGAGCTTGTTGCGCACCTTGTCCTTCATCTGGTAGAACAGCCGTTTGACCGCGTTGCACCACCCGCCGAAGGTTTCAAACAGGTACATCTGCACGTCGGTGTCCGAGCGCGAGAGGGCGTGCGCGTAGTCCGCCTTCTTGTACGCCACATAGCCGCCGCCGTCGCTCGGCCTGAAGTCGCCGTCCCCGACAGCGCCGCGCTGCTCGAGGCCGAAGACGTCCGCGCTCGTGCCGGGCTCGGTGTTGCCGAGGCCGACGAAAGCGCCTCGCTGGCCGACGTCCTCCGGGTTGGAGGAGAGCGAGTCCTTGAACTTGACGTCGTGGATTCGGGACAGGGGGTCTGTCTGGGGCACTCGAGTATGGGTACTGTCAGCTTTCTTCGTACCTGTGTTAGTGCCAGTGCGCGCCAGTCCCGTGCCCAGTGAGCAGTGTCGTACGAGGGAGCTTTGTTGTAAAACTCTTCGTTCCTTTTCGGCGCGTGGGGTCCTCCGCCGCTTTCCCACCCCGTTTGTACACACTGATGCCAATCGATGATGTTCCCAGCGCATTGACACATCCGGTCCGCACGACGGAGGTCAGCTGCATACCAACCTGCAAGCTCTGCATCCAGTTTGACGGGATGACGGCAGCGTAGCCATATCCGGCGTGCGAGCTACACAATGTGCTGGGGTATCTAGACAGCGTCTTGAGCCGCGATGAGGCGCGATGGCAGAGACCCGCACCCACCCTCGGCTACTCTCCGAGAATGCTAACCCTCCCCGAAAGAGAAACAGGGCATCGTGGGCGTGCCATCACCGAATAATGTGAGAGAAATGCGATTCACAGATGGGGCTAAAAAGAAAAGAGAAAATTTGGCGTCCCTTTCCACAAAAAACAAAAGGTGCGCGTCGCCACCTCGCCCGCGCGACCCAGCGAGTTGAGTGCCCCGCCTCGCCCCGCAACCACCACAGCAGTGAGCCCGTGCCCGGCTGCACGTCTTTTCATGCCGCGGTAGAGATAGACGCGGCGCGTCGCCGTCTCGCCCGAGCACTGATCCGCCTCGCACCGCCCGCAGCTTGCCGAGGGCGTCGCGAAGCAGCGCCACCGTGACCGGCAGCGGGTGCGGCTCGCCGCGCTCGAATCGCGCCCTGTCACGGAGCGGGTTGTTGATCGAGCGGAACGCCTGCGGTCAGGGAGAAGGTGAGAGGGCAAGGAAGGATCGAGATCGCGGGAGAGGGAGAAGGGGGTGCCTGCGTTGTGTAGAGGCGAAGTGCGACCACATGCGCCTCGGCCAGGTTCGCGGGCCGCGCGCTCGCGTGCGAGACAAAGTCCTCCAGCCGCATCCCACGCGTTTTGCCGTTGCTGTCAGTCACGGTGCGGCAGTGCGCCAACACCCTGCCGCGCTCGTCGCAGTCGCGCTTCAGTCCAGCCTGGTAGGTGCGCGCGCTCGAGCCCGCCTCGGCGTGCATGATGCCTGCGAGCCGTAGTCCAGACACTCGCAGTCATTGTCAGTTCCGCCGCGGCGCTCAACCCGCACGATGGCGGCGGTGCCCTCGAGCAGCCCCTGCGGCACAATTTCTGGCGCCACGCACATTAGTGCTCGATCCCCAGTGCCGCCTGTGCTGGCCGGCCAAACACGATTGTTTGTCGGTCTTGAGATGTGGCAGGTCGCTCGGCACGGTGGCGAAGCGATTCTCGTCGGAGTCGACGCGGATCGGCAGCGTGTCATGAGTCAAGTCGGCGATCAATCATGTCGGCGATCAATGTCGGCGATCAATCATCGGCGATCAATCAGCGCCAGACGAACGAACTCGTTCTTTTTTTTCTGGGCGCCGGATACCTTCAAATCGTGTTCACACCGGGCTGTGAGATTTCCCACGCCAACAACAACGCGCCCACTCTTTACGGCAACCGCGCGCGCTTCCTCCGCTCCTCCAGCCGCAACCTCGCCGCGGCCACGGTGGCGTCGTTGTTGCGCCGCGCCGCGGCCGGGCCGGGCGGCCCCGACTCGTCGCCGGCGGGCCGCCCGCCTCCGCCTCCGCCCGCCTCCGCCCCCGCGCCGACCTCCCCGTCGCCGCGCCAGTGCCCCCCCACGCCGCCGAGCCGGAGCACCCGCTTCGCCTCGGCCAGCCGCGGCGTGAGCTCCTGCAGCCACGCTGGCTCGACGGCGCACGCGTGCTGCATGACCAGCCGGCCCACCCACGCGAGCTCGCTGAAGACGACGTGCGTCGCGCTGCTCAGCAGCTGCTCGTTGCCCGCCCGCGCCTGCACCGTCTGCGGCGGCTCACCAAGCGTGACAAAGGCGCGGACGGCGTGCGCCCGCCGCGCCGCGTGCATAAAGTGGCCCGCGCAGATGGCGCGGCGGCAGCGCGCGCGCGCCTCGGCCGCGGAGTGGGCCGCCGTCGCCTCCTCCCCGCCGCCGCGAGGGCCGGACTTGGAGAGCAGGCTGAGGATCTGGGTGCGCACGCTGTGCGCCGCCCGCAGCGCGCGGCCCTGCAGACCCCGCTCTGCGCACCACGCCTCGCGCTGGTAGTGCGGGACGAGCGCCCAATCCTCGTACGCGGAGAGCAGCGTCATGTGGTCGCCGTCGGCGCTCTCGTAGTGCAGCCGCGACTCGGCCGCAGCCTCGCGCAGCCACGGCGGACCCGCGCGGCAAAAGACCTCCTCGCCGCAGACGAGCGCACACACGCTCGCCGCCTCGTCGCGGCAGCCGAGCGCCGCCGCGGTGAGCATCGTCTTTGAGAGCGACGGCTCGAGCGGCAGCTGCGCCATCGCCGCGCCGGCGGCGGTGAGCTCGCCGCGCCCGTCGAGCGCGCCGAGCAGGAAGAGCTGCCTCAGCGCCGCGTGCACCGCCTCCGGCTCGGGCGGGTCGAGCCAGTCGAGCGCCTGCTCGCAGCGAGGAGGGCGTGAGGAGGCGGTCCGGGCTAGATCGCGACGTCGAGCGGTCGCCGAGCGCCTCTGGCCGCGCCACCCCCATCTCCTTGAGCGAGAGGACCACCTGCAGCCAACGCGAGAAGAGTGAGGCACCCGCCACCAGAGACTCGCGCCGCCCTCCGGCGCGGGAAGGGGCACATTGGCGAGGTTGGACCGCCGGATCTCGGGCTGGGGCTCGGAGGCCATCCCCGCAAGCTGATCCTCGCTGTACAGCCGCCACACCTCGCCCGCCGCCGTGCGGCCGGCGCGGCCGGCGCGCTGCACCGCGTTGCTCTGCGAGATCGGGACTACCGACAGGACCTATGGTAAGGGAGGGTAAGCTAGGCTTCTCCGCACAAGGGCGCACGAGGTGGTGGGGCAAGGGGCCAGGCAGCCCTCGCGACTCCACGTCTTGACGACAGGAGCCCCACGGCATTCAACGTGCAAAGCCCGGTGCGCGTGGGCGATGTGTGTGTGCTTGTGTGTGTGTGTGTGTTGTGGTGTGTGCGCGTGCGTGTGCGTGTGTGTGTGCGTGTGTGTGTGCGTGTGTGTGTGTGTGTGTGTGTGTGTGTGTGTGCGTGCGTGCGGTGTGCGTGCGTGCGTGTGTGTGTGTGTGTGTGTGTGTGTGTGTGTGTGTGTGTGAGTGTGTGTGTGTGTGTGTGTGTGTGTGTGTGAGTGTGTGTCTGTGGTGTGGGGTGGAAGAGGACCTCCATGCCGCGGTCGCGCTCGTACCGCTTCTCCTTGGCGACGCCGGCGTCGATGACGGTGCGCACGCCCGGCAGCGTGAGCGACGTCTCGGCGATGTTTGTCGCGAGGATGAGCCGGCGCGTGCGCGGCGGCGGCGGCCGAAAGACGCGCGCCTGGTCCGCCGAGGGGAGCGAGGCGTGCAGCGGGTGCACCTGCAGCCGCGGCCCGTCCGGGTCCGCCTCGAGGAGCTGCTCGGCGAGCCTGACGCGGTGCAGCGGCCGGGAGGTCGGTGCGGAGGCGGAGGCAGGGCGGGGGGTGTGGCGGGGAGGGTGGCAGGGGGGTGTGGAGGGCGGGCGGGGAGGTGGGGGGCGGCGAGTGTGGGGAGAGGGATGGCTGGAGAGGAATGGGTTGAGAAGGGTTGGGCGCGCGCCCTCGAGCGGCGTGCGCCGCCGTGGAGATCTCGTCCTGGCCGGCGAGGAAGACGAGGACGTCCTCTCCTACACGACGGTTCCGAGGAGGCTCGGGGCAGGCTCCGACAAGGCGCGAGGCGGGCGAGGGCGTCCTCTCCTGGGCCGGCCGGCCGCTGGGCGTGCACGCGCAGCGCAACCTCGAGCGCCGCCTCGAGCCGCGCGCCGTCCGAGGTGAGCGGCTTGGCGACGTGGTGCACCTGAGCAAAGGGCCCCGGGGAAGGGTCAGGCAAGGCTCCGGGGAAACCCGGCCCAACGCGGCGAGGCTGCGCCGTGACGGGAAACGTGCGCGACGACACCTCGACGACCGGAGCGTCGCGGAAGAAGCGGCTAAAGCGGGCCGCGTCCAACGTCGCCGAGGCAACGACGAGGCGGCGCGGCCCGCGCGCCCTCCCCGCCGCCTCGCCCGCCCCCTCGCCCGCTGCCTCCCCGCCCTGCAACCCGGAGAGGATCTGCTTGGCGACGGTGAGGAGCACGTCCGTGTTGATCGAGCGCTCGTGCGCCTCGTCGAGGACGACCGCGCCGTAGTGCGACAGCGCCTGGTCGCGGACCGCCTCGCGCAGCAGCACGCCGTCCGTGACGAACTTGATCTGCGTCGACGGCCCGCACTCTTGCTCAAAGCGAATGGCGTAGCCGACCTCGCCGCCCACCTCGCCGCCGCGCTCCTGCGCGACCCGCCGCGCGGCAGCGATCGCCGCCATCCGGCGCGGCTGCGTCACGCAGACCGGCCCGAAGCCCGCGGCGAGCAGCAGCTGCGGCAGCTGCGTCGTCTTGCCGCAGCCAGTCGAGCCGCGCACAACCGTGCAGTAGTTGCCCTCGATGGCCAGCCGCAGCGCCTCGCGGTCCGCCGCGCTCATCAGCGTGCCGTCGAGGCTGCTGACTCCGGGCGACGATGCCGACGGCTCCATCGTCATATTCTCTCTCGCGCTGGGGTCACCTTCGGCTGCATCGTCGAACCACCAGCCCGACGCTCACTGTTGCTTTTGGAAAGAGCGAGCGACAGCGAGCCGCCCCCCCCTCGCAACCATCACGCAAACGTGCTTTTGTTGGGGGTTCACAGATAGGTTGATAAGAAACAAGAAGCCCACATCGCACAGACAGTGAGGGTGTGAGAGGCGGACCTAAGGATTCACACACACATGATGAACAAAACACTCTACTGACTGACTGAAGGTCGGGACTAAAACATATTGAACAAAGACACACCAGGGCCGCACGGCGCGAGCGAGGGACTAAGGCGCACTGACACTAATGAACAAAGAAAAGGCACAAAGGGTGAGTGTGTGTGTGACAGAGCCTACCCGGGTACAAGTGACCGTGACAACCCCGGTTTCCTTGTCCCACTCTCGTCGTTCTACGTCGCGTCGCTCTCCTCTGTCTCGTTCTGCGACGCCGCCGCCGCCTTGTTCTCGCTGCTTCTTGCGCCTTTCGGCGCAGCTGCGTCCTCCTCGCTGCATATCCTGGCCCCTCGAGTCTATCGAGCTCTCCTCGAGCAAGGACGAGTCTTCTGACGCCCACTGCGATCATTTGCCGCCAAGTCATATCGTTGCTCAGGTCCACTCTCTCTTCGAACACTTGTGCCTTCACTGATGATCCGGCGCTCTGGGGTCACCTTCGGCTGCATCGTGACAACTGGATTTCCCCGGGTTCGTCCTCCTCGGAGTCGTCGACCCCGGTTTCCTTCCGCTCGGCTCTTCGCTCGGTACGTTCGGTGTGGCTCACCCTCCATGCCGTGAACATGCGCTTTATCCACCCTATATTCTTCTCTCGTTCCTCTGCCCGTGCCTTGGTCTTGTCGTTGTTTCGCACCCATGTCTGTATGGCAATCGAGGCTGCCTTCCCCACTACCTGTAGTTCACTCGTCACCTCTCCCGCGAGCTCCCCTCTCATTCTTTCGGGTATGGGGTCCGTGAGTGCGGGCAGCGTGCAGGCAATCACGGGCGCTATTTTGTCGTACTCCCCTTCGGCGAGCGCTCCGAATCTAGACCCCATTGCCTGAGTGCCGAGCACTTGGATGGAGCACTTGGAGCACTTGGAGCGCGGAAGAATTCTTTTCTAGCCGCCGCAGCCAAAAGGCGGTCCAGCGAGCAGGAAAGCTGCCACCCAGGCGGGGGCCTAGCTTCCGCAGCGCGCCGGGGCGGGCACACTCCGCCTAGCGCGCCGCCGTCCGCTTCCTTGAAGCGCCCTGTCAGTCTGCAGCCGGCGATCGCGCGCGCGGTGCACGCTGTGCGGCGAATACCGGGTACTTGATTTTTCAGGGCTGTCCAGGTGGCGTTTATTTTTGCTTGGGCGGACCTCATGACGGGGTAGGTAGGTAGGGTAGGTCTGGGCCCTCCCGTCGGGTTTTTCCCTCTCTTCAAGCTGGATGGAACTTTCACAGCAGAAAAAGAAAATTTCCGCGGAAATCACGATGTCAACCCTCCCCAAATGGGTGATCTGATGCTTGTAGGGCTTGAGAGTGGCCTCCCCGCCTCCCATGTCACAAGAAGGACTGTGGATGCAGGAGAGTACCACCAACCATCACTCTAGTTGGTATAGTACCCCACCTTCACCCATCAGGTGATTTCTTTTTTAGTTTCCCATAAGTAGGGTAGGTAGGTAGGTAGGCTGAGTGAGGGAGGGTGTAGAGGATGTAGAGTGTAGAGCGCTGTAGAGCTGTAGAGCTGGAGAGCGCTGTAGGAGCTGTAGAGCTCTACATCCGCCGCGGGACGAGGCGCCTCCGTTGTAGAGCGATGTAGAGGCGCTCTACAACGTGAAATCTCTCCAACAAACTCCACATCATAAGCGGCGAACGAGGCACGGTCGCTCTCCGACATGAGGCGCGTTGCACTTGCCAGTGCTGCCCTGGCCTTCTGTCTGCCCGCCCAATGGGTAGGAGGTGCCTCTGCTGCTATGGCATGCCTCACGGCTGCGACTGGCCGGCGCCTCGGCGCGTCAGCTCGGCTCGGCGTAGCGATAGTGGCCAGCGCAACTCGCCTGGACTCAACGCTCAGCCAGGAGCTCCCGCACGCGCTGGCGCGAGTCATGGCGCATGCAACGCGCAGCAATGCTCGCCTCGCCTCGCGCAAATGCGACCGTCCTCGCAGCCGACAGTCCACCGCCTGCTAAAGAAGCACAGCGACGAATGCGGCACCGGCGACGCATGGCAGGCTGGTCATGACGCAGTTATAGGGTGTTGTGTGCCGTCGGAGTCACTCTCTGTGTGTCAGGGTTGTTCAGGGCTGTCCATCAGAGCTCCAGTAAGCTCGGAGACACCCCATTAGCGCGGCTCGACCTCTTTGAGTCACTGCCTTCCCGGCGGTTTTGCTGTAGAGCCTCTACAACAAACTCTACAACAAAATCGCGCTCAGTAGGTAGGTAGGTAGGGGCACCGCAGGGGCCGCCCAGGGTTTTGCAGAATTTCATCATGAGGTCCGCCGGCAAGCAAAAATAAACGCCACCTCGGCTGTCGGGTTTTTCCGCGCCTCGAAATTCGTAACAATCGCCTCGCCGCTCCACAATGCCTTTCTCCGTTGCCTCCAGCCGCGCGGCGCCATCGTCCTCGATCCAGTGCCGGCCTGTGACAAGCTTGCAGCTCGCGGATCGACGATCGCCACGAGCTGCTGCCTGGCGACCGCCGGCCGCTCGCCTTCGACGACAGTCGTAACAATCGGTGGTGAGCGGCACCTCCTTGGCCCAGCACCGGTGTTATCACGCCTCAGCTGCTTCGTTGTCATGTCCAGTTATGGCGGAGACGCGCTGATAGCATTCCTGTGCACGCGTTGGACCAGCACGGCCATCCATCGGGTGCGTGGCGCAAAAAGACCTGTTTGCGCTGTCTTCGATATCAGCGGCTACATGCGCTGCTGAGGTACCTGTGACGCACACATGTTGATCACATCCATATGCCTCACTAACATACAGCTGGCGAGCCTTGCTTCCCTCGTCTGGCCATGCTGTGCATCATCTCACCGTATGCAGCCGTATACGCCCACGGTGCTCACAGGGTCGGGCGTCACGGTGCTCGTGGCAAGCATCTCCGTCACTCTTGTGACTTGTGGGCTTGGTGGTGTTGCCTCCGGTGCTACTGCTGGCTAGGGTGCCAATGGCGCGACGGGAGGCGGCCATTGGCGCCACTACAGCAACGATTGTTACGCGCGTGGAAAAATCCGGAATTCGTGCCCCGAACCGGCCGACACGTGGCCGCATATATGTATATATACCACGTCCGTATGGGCTGCACAAGCCAAACCACGCTCATCACAGCTTGCCACAGTGTGGCCCCTGGCAGGGGTAAGCCATTCTTGGTGTACCAGCTCACAGGAGGGCCGCTTGAACACGATTGTTACACGGCGTGAAAAATCAAGTATTCGCGAGATATCTAGATATCATAAAAAGTAGCAGAACAAAACCGCGGCACCCCTCTTCGATTTGGTCGATTTGGCGTCCCCCCCGACGCGCCCGCCCCTGCCTCCCGGGGGCCCGGCCTCGTGTATCAGGGCTTCATTCAGGTGGGGTCGAAGAATTCTTTTCTAGTGCGCGCCAGTCCCGTGCCCATAAATAAATAAATAGAGCAGACATCTCCAGGAGAGATGGGCGACGCACGAACACAGAGGGACAGTGCGCACCCCGCCCCGCTCGCAGGGCGTGCAGCACACAGCAACACAAGACATATCTAGGCGCTGTGCGCCTCCTCGCCTCCTCGGGATTTCTGGGGAGGTAGGAGTGTGTGTGTGTGTGTGTGCGTGTGTGTGTGTGTGTGTGTGTGCGTGTGTGTGTGTGTGTGTGTGTGTGTGTGTGTGTGTGTGTGTGTGTGTGTGTGTGTGTGTGTGTGTGTGTGTGTGCTCGCTCGCTCGAACGCGCGCGCGCTATGCAACGCGCGCGGGCGCCTGAGGGAGGGTGTAGAGGATGTAGAGTGTAGAGCGCTGTAGAGCTGTAGAGATGTAGAGCACTCTGGAGCGCTGTAGAGCTGTAGAGCTCTACATCCGGCGCGGGACGATGTGAGTCCGATGTAGAGCGATGTAGAGCGCGATTTTGCTGTACGTCCCACTCTCGTCGTTCTTTCCCTTGTCGCTTCTTCTTCTGTCGCGTCGCTCTCCTCTGTCTCGTTCTGCGACGCCGCCGCCGCCTTGTTCTCGCTGCTTCTTGCGCCTTTCGGCGCAGCTGCGTCCTCCTCGCTGCATATCCTGGCCCCTCGAGTCTATCGAGCTCTCCTCGAGCAAGGACGAGTCTTCTGACGCCCACTGCGATCATTTGCCGCCAAGTCATATCGTTGCTCAGGTCCACTCTCTCTTCGAACACTTGTGCCTTCACTGATGATCCGGCGCTCTGGGGTCACCTTCGGCTGCATCGTGACAACTGGATTTCCCCGGGTTCGTCCTCCTCGGAGTCGTCGACCCCGGTTTCCTTCCGCTCGGCTCTTCGCTCGGTACGTTCGGTGTGGCTCACCCTCCATGCCGTGAACATGCGCTTTATCCACCCTATATTCTTCTCTCGTTCCTCTGCCCGTGCCTTGGTCTTGTCGTTGTTTCGCACCCATGTCTGTATGGCAATCGAGGCTGCCTTCCCCACTACCTGTAGTTCACTCGTCACCTCTCCCGCGGTTACTGGACCGTCACGTGTTCAACGACGTTGAACAGTGTTCAACCACGGCGCTGTTCACAGCGCGCGCGGACGGCCGTTCTGCGAGTCCAGCTCCGCTGGACTTTTGTAAAGCATGCTTGTGGCAAGTTATAGACGCTAGTATCGACCTCAGAGACCCAAACCCGAATTAATAATTAAGGCTCAAAGTATGGTTGAACAACCGTTGAACAAACAGGTTGAACAACGATATCCGACTAGTGCGACCGCTAGACGGCGGTCTCCGCCGGCCCCAAGGCTGCCCAGCCCCAGTACCACACCGACCACGTAGACCGTAGCGCTGGAGTCGGTCAGTGAGGCACTAGACGGGCTACGGAACCATGCGCGCGCCGGCCGGATAGGCTGCGCGCAGGGGCCGCGCCGCCTCGATTTCGCATCTCCGCTCCGCGGCCGACTGAGGGGCCAGCTCGCCCGGCGACAAGCCC